TTTTAGTTGCGGCTTTGGAGCGAATATGGCGCATGCTAACCGAAATTATTTGAGGCGATTCCAATCAACATAATCTAACCTACAGATTAATCGTTTCGATCTTTCCATAAGATATGTCTAAAGTTTGGCTACTCAGCTTTTCCACCTAGCTTTACACCGCTGATGGACACCACTGCCATGGAAACGGGAGTCAGAGAAGCTATCAATGTCATATGCTGGGTTCTTGATGTTATCCGTGCAACCGGCGAGTATGCGAAAACACAACAATATGGAAATAGTCTGTACTTCGGGTGCGATCCCAATGTTCGGAATAAACAAATGTTACCTTATTTTCCAGGGCCAGATTGCCGATCGCAATCCAAACACACAGATAAAATTCAAGATCACAACAATGGATTGTGAAGTTCTACGCCAAGTGTTTTTCGCGAAAATCAGTGTCTAAGTGGTTAGGGCATCAGTCTTGAGAAGGAATATGCAGCAAATTTAACCATAAACTACAGTTGTCGCTAACTGGAGTTCAAACAGGGGTGGCACTAAGTATGCAGTGCGGTCATGGTCATGTGCGACACTGCAGAAGCTTCCGATTCGCAGAATATTTCGAATAAGTAAAGGAGTAAAAATTCGGACAGCACTCTTCACATGAACACTGCAGGTGTGAAGTCTTACAGAAACGAGTACATAGAAAGCTGAAGCAAAAGGTGTTAGCAAGATCAACATCAGCCATTTGAACTGGTGCTTCGCTGCCATACAACCATGATGACCCATGGAATAAAAAATAATAAGAGGAAGGGGGACTTACCTGAAAACCTTAATGCCCTAAGCAAACAATCAGGGACAAGGCGCCTATACTTTGTGTAGACAATATACCGTCACAAACAGCTGGCTATCGTGCGTCATCGGAGAGACAGCTTCCCTGCGGCTTACCCTGACCCGCGTCATAATCAGCCATTACCCAGCAGATAACTCAGCACCAAACACACTATAAACAGGCAATCCGATTAGGAGACGGCAGCAGACCCGCCACTGGTGTCGGTTGCGAGCCATGTATTGTAAAGTCTCGAGTCAAGCTTAAGGCGAGTCACGTAGACTCCAGCGCCGTAGGCGAGACGGACCAACAGCATCAAATTTGGTCGTTAGTGACTTCATTTCCTGCTACCAAGTCAAATTCTGTCCACCTCGAGCTTTGCGCCATCCTACATCTGGCAGACTAAACAAGGCCCTCCTACGTAAACGGTGACTGGGCTACGTATGCTCAAGCCAACGCACCTTATTCAGTGCAATCTGTTGTTCTAGGGAGCTAGCATGCGTATTACTACCTAGTACTCGCCTCCGCATACCATCGTTGCGGATACGCTGGTACCCTCCGACACCAGCAATGCGTCGCAGACAACGACGATCTAAGACTTGAAGGCACCTCAAATCTTCAGACCGAAGGGGCCAAGTCTCACTGCCATAGCGCATGGCAGCCCTCACTAGGGTCTTGTATACACGGCCTTTCAGACAGAGGGAAAATCCCTTCTATCGCTAAAGATGCCGCAGGTTCAAGAAGGCAGTTCTGGCTTTTGTAATGCGCGAACTGACCAGTTTCTATGCGCCCATCGTTGCTAAAGCAGCTACCAAGGTAGGTGAATTGATCAACCACGAGTTCCTCGTTAACAAGAGTCAAGTTGTCATAAGGTGACCAGTGGTCCTGCAGCAACACTTTGCACTTCGAGGGTGCGAAGCGCATACCAATAATAGGACCATTCTAGACAGGCTATTCAGGGTTGGTTGTGCCGCTGGAGGATATCGTCTGCAAAATCAAGATCAACTAACTTTCCACCAACCAGTACCTCAACGCCTACATCGTGAGATTCCGCAAGGGAACACTATGATAGAGTCCACAACGAAATTGAACAAAATGGGGAAATCGGACAACCCTGACGAACGTCACTTGTGGTCGGAAAGACATCCGACAGTACACCGTAGACCCTGACGCGGCCTGTAATGTTCGAGTATAGAGCACGAAGATGTTCGCATATTTTATGAGAACACCTTTCCGCGCAAGTATTTCGAACAGAATCGATCGCCTGAATCGAACGCACTCTTGAAATCGAGGAACACAGCTATTGTCGATTTGCGGTATGCGTTGCACTGCACTAGCATTGCCGCAGATTGAATATATGGTCTATACAGCCAAGTCCAGGGGGGGAAACCTGCCTGCGCTACCCTAATCCGAAACGCCCGTTCAACAGTGAGGCGACGAACGAGAATCGAGGCCCGTAATTTTGTCACAACTGGCGTTAGGCTAATACCCCTGTGGTTAGAACAGTCTGTGCGACTGTCATTCCTATAGATTGCCACTATAACCGATTCGCTCCAGTTAGCCGGGACACTAATTTCCTATTAAATACGTTCGAATAGGGAGGTCAGTGCTTTGCAGAGGACCTCACCTCCATCCATAAATAGTGCAGATGGGAATCCGGGCCAGCGGCACGAAAACGATTGAGGGCTGTGATCAGGTTTCGAACCTGGGTCTCCGACGGAGGTTTTAAACTAACCGTCCATGGCTTGTCCTGCATCACCTGAGTAGGAAGAGGTTCGGGAACAGGGGGTCAGCTGAAATGATCTTGAAGTATTCCGCCCAACAAGCCATATGGCGCTCCTTATTGTGCATCAGCTCACCCGCGCTGTTTCTGATTGTCCCACTGACGCCTGGTTTCCTAAGACTAGTAGTGCGGATCAGCTGGAAGAGCCTGCGGTAATTGCCTAATACTTTTGCCCCTTCTATTTCATAAGCCCGACAGGTCCACCAGGCTTCCTTGTCAGCACGCAGGCTCTGCTTTAATTCGTGCCTAATAGCCCGTCTGGTCACATTGTGCTCGGAGCCAGCCGGCAGGTTTTTTCTGCATTACAACAGGTCCAACGATCTGTCGGATATCCAGTGACTGGTGCGGTGACGATTGAGTGCCACAAGCATATGCTCAAGCGTCGTGCATGACGGCCGAGATCCTATTCCACTGAAACACTGTTTCAGTGTTAGGACAAGGGAGCGAAAATTCGGTACGCAGTGCGTCTTGATAGGCTTGCCTGACCGAAGGCTGAGATAACCTCTCAGTTGCCAATCGGAGAAGACGCTTGGTGCACCTCCCGGTATAGTTCATGGAGAAACGACAGGGTACAAAGGCATGATCAGAGTCGACGCAGTAAGAGCAGCAATCCAGAATGGAACCACGCCACCTGTAACTTATGGCAATGTAGTTTATTTGGGTTCATCGCGGCCCAGCTACAGAACACCGAGTGGCACTTCGGCGCCCACTGTGTCTAAAAGCAGTGCTACTAAGAAACAACTGGTGCTCCGCACACAGTTGCAAAAGACGTTCGCCGTTGTCGGTCCGTTCGGAGTTTAGCCCATAATTACTACCCAGATGAGCTTCTAAATAGCTCAGACGCCCTACTTGTGCGTTCATATCCCCAGCAAGTAATATAATATCTGACCTAGTAAAACTGCGTAGTAGCGCGTGCAGTTTGTGATAGAACGTGTCCTTAATTGCAGTCGGTGGGAGCATAAGCGGAAATCACAAACAAACAGCGTTTTGCACCAGTTCGTGAATCAACCTTAGCTGATGTCGTTAAACGGGCTGCACATAAACGACTGTTCACCGGAATCCAATCAACGATGGCTCAGCCTTGGAGTTTAGAATGACACCTACACCAGCTTGACCTTTGAGCGCTGCATCGGCGCCTCCGGATGCGTGTAACCGATAACGAGAGGATAAGCCGGGTGCAGTTAATTTAACAACCCCATTAGGGTCATTGATCCTAGTTTCGGACACACAACACACCAATACCTAGTGTGTCCAAGGTGCGTGCGAGTGTAGCCTGTTGACTTATTTGTCTTGGGACGCGAACCTTGAACGCGGCCATGGAAACTAGACAGCGTGGCCTAATAAGAGGCTGTTGTCGATAGACGTCCGGTGCGTGTCGCGAGAAGGTGACTGCAGATGTTTCGCCAGTGGCACTGCGGTTGCTGTCAATTAAGCTGGGAATTGTAGGTTAGTAATGGGGGTCGGGATGGGAGTAAGAGAAACAGGTGAAAAAGAAAAAAGGCAGGGGCGCCAGCAGTGGCATATTTTCGCTAATCAGCCCTGCTATATGCAGCAGATGAGGCGAACCTTAATAATCTGCTCAACGGCCGATGCAGGATGAAGTTTATGTTTGAAGAAGATGTCATGGTTGTATGTGGGCTGAGATACTGCCAGGGCGCCCAGACCTAGACAGGATGATCAGGGTCCTCATTCAAAGCCTTTGGCTCAATAGCTTGGCCGCAAAGCAGCGGGAAGGTGGCGCTGATTTAGTTTTACAGAAATGGACGCCATCCCATTTTAAACTCCCAAGCTGGAAGACCAGGAGATTAAGTTTGTCTGATCTTTTGCCATTGATCAACCGGGAGGGAGTAGCTCTCAAGGGGCCCAGAGGCACCACCCAGTATAGCTCAAGAGGTACGCAAACCGTGGCACCACGTTAAGGTTCAGTCTCGTTTGCAACGGAAGGTGTTACAAGTAAGTGTGGAATACAGGTTGAACAGAAGAGAGCAGATAACGGTAACAATATATCACATCAGTGACCGGTCGCTGGAACATTTACGCTGATGAAACGATGCGTAGCAAAGGAAGGATTCTGCAGGATAGCGAAGCTAGCGTGGAGCGTCTAAAAATTCAGAATGTGTTCAATAGGAGTTGGTGGTCAATTACGAAAAAGTTCGAAAGCAGTTGGGAACCGCATCTAGATCTTCCATCAGGAATTACATAGACAAAAATGTCTGCCTACAAGGTCAATGCGTATCAAGCTGACTGGGAAATCAAACGCCAAGTAGGTAACGAGTATAAACAACAGGGTTTCGTTTTGAATCACACTGATCATTAACATCACCGCTAAAGCAGTCGTGCGCTGAAATTTGTATGGGGATTGTTAAAATGAAGTGTGTGGATTCAGCGTGGCTAGGTACAACATAAACGTACCATATTTGTTGACCAGGCCCACAAATTCCTGAGGCACTATTGTGTCACTAGGTGCCGCCTCACGAGATCCGACCAAAATGGAGACCAAGGAAGTTTTATCGGCGCAAGGCACGTTAGTGTCGGAGGATATCCGGTTGAGATGCAGTAGATCACAGCATAAGGACGACTGGATGTTGAGTGGCAGCGCAGCTGGGGAACAATCTCTGCTTGGTGCTTGCGAAACAACACTTTGATCAGTCGAATCAGTTTCCGGTCGCTTTGCATCTTCCGTCAGTAGCATGGAAATTTTGGTCTGTAGAGGGAATCGTCGGTAGAGATAATATGTTTAACTCGATGGAGCTAAGGGAAAAAGCAAGCCTGATTGTATAGGGTGCAGTTTTTGTACATAAGAATTCAATACCGAGTCCATCAAGAACAGCAGGGTGGAGATTGGAGCTAGCTCCAAGTAGGACATGATCGGCTTGAACAGTAAGACTTCGCTGATCCTGGTTTTCGTAATTAGCACTCTGTGTGTAGCGTACTAAGGATAAGCTGAAACAAAAGACCACTGGAGTAGAGTAAAAGATTTTTGGTGTTGCCCCAAGAAATAACAGATCGGCGGATAGATGACATAGTAGCGTCGATAAATCTCGCCATTAAGACTCGTTCCAGCCTCGTGTCACGCCTATACCTTCAACTGAGACATAGACTGACCAAGGTTCAAGGAAAATGATCAACACACAACCAATGTCGAACAATGTGAGGACGCAAACCGCAACCAGAAATTACAGAAGCCAAAAACATTAAGCCAGACTATTTGGTTGTCCAACGCAGCACTGCTGCAAAGGTAGTTATCCCTGAATTTCATGGGATCAAACTGAAAATTTCCGTCCAGTTTACTGTGCCCCGATGTGAGAGATCGGCTAGACAACTATGTGGACTGATCGCATCTAGTAGTCCGTTATTGTGAGCGAGAACACAACAGTCGAATAGTACAATGATATGCATAAGAGGCGCAAGCAGTTGGTGTTAACAGGTCATGAATGTGGTCCACGATGGCGCCAATGGATAAACGAAACGGTCGTCCGCTGCATCTCTGGATTGGTGTCAGGCTTCTAGCGTATCAGGCACATACTACTGAATACGGAATATCAGAGCAAGTAGAAATGAATTCTGTAGAACTCGTCCGAAACACTGTAAAAAAGTTAGAAAAACTGTCAGCCGTGAATACCGCAATCGTTCTCATGTAGCATTTAAAATATCTGAATCAATGTATAGCAGGACTAAGAAATGTGAGATGTCATCGTAAGCGTACATTCGTTCGCTGAATCGAATAGCGGTAAAATATACATAAAACAACGTTTTGAACTGCAGCACAGAGGTTGCCTCCATTAAATGTAAAGGCAAACTTCCAAATAGAAAACATTCAGTTCCCTTTAGTAACTTGAGAAGCACAGTTAGAAGACGAAGTTCGGCAGATGCATGCATTTCGCATCATCTCATCAGTGCCGATAACGATAACCGGTAATATTATACAACAGCTTGTGGGTATCTACAAACAAAGAAGAGAAAAAGCGGGTGTCTTACTTCTACAACCAGGGCAACCTGAGGCTGACTAATAACTGTTTTTGCACACAAAGCACTGGCTTAATTCGATTAATGGCAGCAGCCGCGACAAACCGGAGGAACCGAAAATTGGTATGGCGAAGCAGGATCCTAAACGCCTTGTTGACCTCAATTCCGTGACCCGATGTCAATAAGTGCCTGTCGATCGAAGATACTAGCAGGTTGCGCACACATGTGGTCTGATTTGGGCTTGCTTACTGAATAACCCTACAATGAACCCATTCTGATACATGTTCGTTTATTCGCGAACTCAGTGTTCTACTGGTTCTGCCTATGTAACTATCTCCGCAGTTACATACAAATTGATATACACAGTGGGAGTTGGCCCCAATACGCTGAGTTTCCTATAGTGGAGGCAACGATAGCTTATGCGTTCGGTCAATGATTACAAGTTCGGCAGCCCAGAAGGTGCTCTGCGTGGCAGAAATCAGACGTCCTTCAAGTTTATAAACCAACAGACCGATGTTGCCTATGAAGTAAAAATACTGAGCGAAGTGCGCGCTTACGAACAGACACCTATTAGTGTTAGGCGAATTGCGCGATAAGAATGTCGTAATGAAGCCGGATAAGTGCTCAGGAGTTGTAGTCATGAAGAAAGATGAGTACATCGAGGAGATGAGCGTCGTACTCAGTGACACTAACAAATTTTAAAAAAACTGGAGAAAACGGGGATATGACTGCATTCGAATCCCGCATTATTCGTCACTGAGAAATGCTTCACCAGTAGCACGTGATTGACAGCGCTACGTATAACAGTATAGAGCCGAGTAGATCAACTACGCCACAGCTATATGGGATTCCAAAAAGGCACAAGAGCGAAGTGCCGCTCAGACCGATCCCATCGATGACGAAAACACACTAACACAAAGTAGTTCGCAGGTTGGTTAATGTGCTTTCTCCACTAAAAGCTCAGTTGAATCTATATGGCCTCAAAAATTCGAGCTTGTCGAAGATCACGATAAAATGAACCTGATCCATAAGGTGATTTGTTCTTTGGATGTAGAATTCTTGTTTACTAACGTGCCGCTACACCAAACCGTTGACTACATCTCCGAATAAGCAGAAAGTTCCGGATGTATGTTGCCGATTCCGGTTGAATTCTTAAGAGAATCAGTACTTCTATGCACAAAGAATGTCGCTTTCCACTTCCGAAACATATCGTATCGCCAAATTGATGGGGTAGCCATGGGCAGCCCACTGGGTCCCATACTGCCGGATTTCTTCATGCTGATAATAGAATAAAGCGGTACCGAAGAAATAGTGCAGTTACCCTATTACGAACGTTACGTGGACGATATCTGTTCTGTTCAACAGAAATGCGGATCGCACAGCTAGTGACGCGTTTTAACTCCTCGCATGTCAATTTGAGGGTTTTCTTCGAAGTCGAACAACATAACTATCTTCCATATTTAGATGTTCTATTAGCCGCAGGGAGAACGGACTGGTAAAAACGTCCGTCTACCGAAAAAAACGTGGTCGGGACAGTATCTGCATTGTACCAGCTTTACGCCAATGCGGCACAAGCGAACGCTTGTGAAGACCCTATTTAGTTGTACCAGACGAATATGTTCGACCGATTGTCTAGCCGATGAACTAGAAGTAATTACCAACATGCTAATGGCTACCTTCGAAAATTTATCCGGAAGCACAGCCAAATCCGTGAAATGAACGTTGCTGTACCTACTGTACCTAAGAAAAAGTATGCTTAGAGCTGCCCTTTAACGGTAACATTGCTTCTTTGAGGACTACAAGGCGTCAGGTTTCCTCCAAACTGAGCACTTTCTGTGCTGCCGACGTTGTAATGATGTACAGATTGTGTAACCCTGCCGACGTCACCCATGGCTCAGTGGCTAAAGCTGCTGGCTAGCTGGCATCTGCCTACAGCGGCCATGGGTTCGATCCCTAGTAAGGGACCGAGAGAATGCGCACCACTGACAAGCCACAATAGGGCGGAACGCGCATCTGGTGCTGTTCCGGATGGGTAGCTTACCTATGCTGCTTGGAATCTAATTGCGATGAACCAACTTGGATCATACCGAAATCCGTCTACTCATTCGTAATCAAAAACCTAAGCCCTACCAGTATTCAAAATTCCTGTGTGGATTTACAACGCTGGCAAGCGAAGACCTGATCGTGACGGCCAAGCAGTGTCCTGTGCACGGGCAATAACCTGCAGGGCAGTGCAGGATGGGTCGCCCTATGTCGCAGTTAGGTTTCAATTCCTAATGGCCAGTTGTCGTACCCCATGGATCAGTGGCATAAGCTGCTGGCTAGTTGGTATCTGTCTCTAGCGGTCATGGGTTCGATCCTCCTTAGAGGACCGAAGAAATGCGCACCAATGACGAGCCCCAATTGGGCGAACCACGTCTGGTGCTTTTCCGGACTAGGCTGTCCTATGTAGCTTGTGAGTAGCTGGGATGAAAACATTACAATTAAGAAGTTGTAATTATCAAACGAACGAACAAGCTACCGTTGCCTCCACTATAGGAAACTCAGCGTATTGGGGCCAACTCCCACTGTGTATATCAATTTGTATGTAACTGCGGAGATAGTTACATAGGCAGAACCAGTAGAACACTGAGTTCGCGAATAAACGAACATGTATCAGAATGGGTTCAATGCAGGGTTATTCAGTAAGCAAGCCCAAATCAGACCACGTGTGTGCGCAACCTGCTAGCATCTTCGATCGACAGGCACTTATTGACATCGGGTCACGGAATTGAGGTCAACAAGGCGTTTAGGATCCTGCTTCGCCATACCAATTTTCGGTTCCTCCGGTTTGTCGCGGCTGCTGCCATTAATCGAATTAAGCCAGTGCTTTGTGTGCAAAAACAATTATTAGTCAGCCTAAGGTTGCCCTGTTTGTAAAAGAAAGACACCCCGCTTTTTCTATCCTTTGTTTATAGGTACCCACAAGCTGTTGTATAATATTACCGGTTATCGTTATCGGCACTGATGAGATGATATGAAATGCATGCATTTACGGAACTTCGTTTCCTAATTTTTCCAAATATTTACTACTCTCCATTCGAAGCACAGTGGGTGGGGAAATTGCTTCACATCCGGCACGACAAGTTTGTGTCTGTGTCCGCGTGTGCTTCATGGCCCTCGTAAGTGCAGCATTAACATCAGCATGGGGAAGTCACCGAGATGTAGAATACGGTAGATCATAATGAGGTTGACTCGCACCTGACGGTAGGATAAGGTGTAGAGTCCTACTTTCTCGCACCGGTCTTCCTATCCCAAGTCAAGTAAACTTGGGATGAGCCTGGTAGCAACGTGTTGGACCCGTCCCATCCTTTGTGCCTCGCCTCGGGTACTCGGAAAGTAGGCGGGCTAACCGTACTCTAGCATTGTTCTAATGATGGAAGAGAAGAGGCGAGTTGCAACCACTTCAGACCATGTGCAGAAGATACGTTTGAGCGCCCAAAGCATGTGCAGTCCGTTACGATATAGCCTGTTCGTGTTGTCCATGGACCTCAAATCGTAGCGCGAGAATACACCTAGGTCCTTCACAGAGGGTGTGGAATACAGCGGTTGGCCGTCAGCACCCTTCTCCAGCCTCATAAATACAGACATGGCTGGGTCGACCGGGAGATGAACTTCTGCAATGTGGATAGGCGGTTGAGGTCTTGCTGAAGTACGCCACAGTCGTCGGGAGCGTCAATTTTTCTCCAAATCTTCATG